CCCTAAACCCTAAACCCACAATCCTCTAAATCGGAATGCGAAGGAAAGTCGTCGAGGAAGCCTTGGGCAACAGGATGAATTGCAGGTTTAGGCTTCGGGCCCCATTAAAGGGGTTTTCATAATGTAGTACCATGGTACACAGCGTAGGTACCATAATTTTGCATGTATGTACCAAAAAATTTATATACAACAAAATATATACAATATATATATATATATATATATACAATATATATATATATATGTGTGTGTGTGTGAATATAAATATAAATATATAAATATGTAGATATATAGATATACAAATATATAAATAAATATATAATTATGTATACATGTAAGTATATTAGTAGGGATAGGTAAACAGACAGACAGATATTGGCACTTCCTCCCCAGCAAAGACAACCCAGATCACCCGGATGTGCGAACCTCGTGGACCACCCCTTTCAGCTGTGCACCATCGCGTGGCCAATTGTCCTTGCTGCTTGCATTTACGTCATTCTGCGTATTCAAGGGCTGTGGGTTGTATCCCAAAACCTTGTGGCGCACTGAGCCCAGCCAAAGCGGCCTGTGCCGCAGACCCGGCCAGGGTCTTCGTTGGATTACATGCTTCGAGGATCATAGAACTTTAGTAAGTAGGGTTTGATCCTCTAAGTGGAGTCTTTTGGGATTCAGGGCTGAGCCTCCGGAGGCACGAAACTCTTGAGCTTGCTCTACGAGAAACCATCCCTACCAAACTGCTAAAGTCCCAACCCCCCAAAACCCCAAACAAAGCCGAAGCACAGCGTGGAGATTGACTGCATTTAGGGCGAAGGATGTAGGGTTTAGGGATTGGATTGAAGGTTTAGGGTTCGGGGTTGAGGGTTGGGGAACTCTTCTTGAAACAGATACCTCAAGCGGAACTGAACTGTGGAACTCTTGAGATCGATGCTACCTGTACTGCGCATGATACTTATCGACTTTTATTTTCATGCGTACATGCCGCAATTTCTCAAAATAGCGGACCGTAGTACAGACCTTGACGAGAAGCATCCTTCATGTTTAGACCCTCCGAGTCAAACCTACCATCACCTGTAATGAGTAATTAGTAATAACCTATAATACCCCGTAATAGCCTAACATCACGGAAACTAATCAAAAATTACCCACGTTGGAACATGGTCCTTAAACCCTAAATAAACCCAAAGCTCTAAACCCTAAACCCTAAACCGGCGTAACCTTCCCTCGTCTGACCCGACGGGGTTCCATAGTACCCTTCTGGCCGCTGCGAGGATCGGCGCGCCAGAACCTGTGCTGTACTGGCTGGTTCTTAGTCATGGAATGGGTGCCTGGATTGCTTGGACTACTATACGGGTTTAGGGTTTAGGGTTTGGGGTTAGAGATCCGTTCCCCCATTCCCTACTAAGAAGCAGGGAGTTTGGAGCCCAATATCCTCCGTATAAGGCCCAAAATTAAGGGATATGCCTTGGAGTAACGAAGGCTTAACAGTATGACTTATAATTTATGTCACATTCTGTGTTTAAAGGGTTTTG